TTCTTTTTTTTTTCTTTTGCTATTTGAACATGTTCATTATTATGCCATAATGTTGTTCACTTGATGATAATCAAAAGGATAAATACGTGTAATTTCTTTATTATAAATTCAAGAGAAATACGAGAGATTATTTTATTGAATTATTAATCATAATATATAGTGATGGACATAAGTTTAGAACAGTTGTATTTTTCGAGTTTTCTTCTCAATGGTAATAGCTGGGAAGAATCTGGACAAAAACATATTTGAATAGTTGGAAGAATTCTCGATTAGGATGGATGAATCTGAAAACTTCGATAAAGCTGCTTGAATGAGGATGTCTAGAAAATCAGGACTTACTCAAACCAGTTTTCTGGCAAGGATTTGAAAGTTTTTTGAAAATAATTTTATTTAACACAGCGAATAACTCTAAACAGTATGGTATGTCTCAGCTCTCTTCGTGACCTTCCTTCATCGAACTACATTCAATTTATGGAAGGCCAGAAAGTGTCAAACACGGCAAAATCATTGAAATATTTCATGGAAATCAAAGAAACATATTTCTTGAGTAATTCTATAAATTGATTGCAGTTCGATAAAGGAAGGCCATGGAGAAAGTCGAGACATTTCATATTGCTCATTCTTCCTAGTTATTACCATTGAGAAGAAAACTCAAAAATACAACTACTCTAAACTTTTTATCCGTCACTGTAGATGAGAATATCCATTCTATGATTCAGTTATTGTAAATACCATATGTCGATTCTTATTGAAATACATTCAAGATGATATGCAAAATGTGGAAAAAGAATAATTTGTATAATATGTTAGTTAAGTAAAGAAAAAATTGCTTTGAAGTTGGTGAATTGTCTTGTTTTCTCTTTTTATTTTTTGATTAAATTTTATTATAAAGAGATGAAAAAAAGAATTGGAACTTGTAATTTAGATTTAAATCTAATGATTTTATTATTCAATATAAAAAGAGCATTAACCTTCACATCTGATTTATTAAACTGTCGTTTTCGTTCTTTTTCTGTACTTTTATTATATTATGTTACGGTTGAATGTTTTTTTTCGTTATATTTATGAGTAATAATGAAGAAATCGTCGTTTTTTTTATAGAAGAATATAAATAATCATTAATTTGATGCATGACCTATGAGCATTTTAAAACAATGGCAACAGCTCAATCTGAAACAAAACGTTATTTAATCGAAGAAAAATATTTATCATTAGATAATAGATTTACTATTACAGATGATTCGGGAAATATTCATTATAAAGGTAATTCAATATTCTTTGCAATAGGTGATAAACTTGTACTTACTGATGAAAATGGAAATGAGGTAATTAGAATTCGTCAAGAAAATTTTCATATTCGTCCAACATATAGATTATATTCTGCTCGTTTGGATGGTACTGAACGTCAAATAGCATTAATAAAAAGAACTGGTCCATTACGACAACATAAATTAGAAATTAGTTCTGATAATGGTGAATATATATTACAAAAACAAGGTGGTGTATCCTCTAAAGAATTTACTTTAATAAACGATGATAATACGATAGCACTTATAACAAAAGACGCTTCGCCTACAAAAAGTTTTTATTGGGTAGACATTAAAGATAACAAAGAAAATCATTCTTTTATATTAGCTAGTGTGATTGTTCTTGCATGTGTAGAACGTTCACCAAGTGGTCATATATTAATGCCACGTTGAATTGAAATCAAGTATAAAAGAAAGAACATTCTACTTTCTATATAATTAATATTGTTCAATTAATTTTATATATATACACATTTTTTTTTATATGGTATGATATCAAAAGACTATTAAATATCATTGAAAACACATCGAATATAGATTTACAACATATATATTTATTTAATAAATACATAAAAATTATGTTGTTTTTGCACTTATTGCGCTTCCTGCAATAAATACTTACGTTTCTACGTCATACAATTATTATTGTTTGAAAACACAATAAATTCTTTTACGATTTTCACTAGATTTTTATTCGTCCTACATTATTCATAATATGATTTAGTTAGTTTGTAAAATTGAAGAAAAAAGATTTTAATGCTATAAAAGCATTACTTTTTTTTAAAAACCTATATTGCTACAAATTCGAATAATATTATTTTGAGAAATTATTTGAAACGGATAATATAAATAAACTTTCGAATAAGATAGAATATTAGAAAATATTCTTTTTTCTTGATATTTTTTTAATGCCAAATGAAATATACATAAATATTTACTTGTGCACGATCCACTGTGCATTGATTATTTGCAGGAAAAGAAATTAGCAAATCAGCAGACATTACAACAATCAAGATGTAGTCGTGGATGTAGAAAAGACTCAGATCCACATCATCCATACCCTCTGTTCTTCCAAATAATCAACGAAAGTAAATCATCATAGTAGAAAATTGCTAATAGGAATATATTGTTTATGTAATTAACGAACAGTAAATGCTCAGAAGTGAAAATTATATTGTTTCCAGAAAGAAAAACAATCAAAATTCAAAAAATAATCAACGAACAGTAAATTGTATAAACTGAATATTTGCTATAACGAATAATTGAAATTCTTTTCTATTTGCTATATACAATTTTTACCAGAAATGAAAATCTACTGATAAGATATATTCTCTGTAAAATTCATATACTTAAAAACAAGGATTCGACAAAATTATTTTTATTTTGAATATCTATTTATAAAATTAGTTTTGTTTTCTTATATAAATCTTAATGTATTTTTTTAAATATTTTCTAGTTTTCACCATGTTTCGTTAAATATATAATTTTCATGATTAGTATTACATAGTACAACTTCTGCAGAATATCTTAAACCTAGAATCGCTGATACAGGATGTCCTAAAAAGAGACAAAAGAATCTAACATTCAAATAGATAATTGTCATTTGAATTCCAGTGTTGTCATCCAACCTTTACTCTCAATTTTTGAATCTTGTTCTTATATATAAATTTTTTTGCTTTTAATCTTTTTACTATCTATGCCAGCATTAGATTCATTTTAAATATAGTGTTTGATTTAAGAAAAACGAATTAGAAAATAACTTTCAAGTGAACGAATACATATTGATGTTGATTTAATGAAAAATATAATTTAAACAAGTTTTTCTTTTTTTTTTTGTTTTATTCGAAATGGACAAATCAAGTCAAATACAACTTAGTAATATATTTGTTAGACAAGTGTTACTGTTGAAAAAAAAATCTTTCTATTATTAGGATAGTACACAGTTCAAATAGTAATGGGTTGAGATCACAATGATCAATGTATATTAGTAAAATTTTTTCAATATAATTCTTCATCTTAAAGATCTTGTCAATATCATCATTTGTTAATGGCATCTGAGCGAACAAAGAAAGAGACAGCTTATATGCTGATGGATATGTTGAGCCTCTAATCTGATGAAAGGAAAGACATTCTCAATATATAAATTGAATCGATATCGTTAGGTCGTACTTCTACTCAGTACATAATTAAATACGAACGTGAATTTTGTTCAAACAATTTCATTAGTGACATTTGAAACCAAAAACAAAAAAAAGAAGAACGGTTATTGAATATGTAAAACTTATGTAGAAGAATCAATTGTGAAGATAATGTCTATTTGCATGATTGATAGAATATTCAATTATTGATATTGCTTCTGTAAGAGTAACCATCAATTCAAGAAATGGACAATTAAAGAACGTGTCTAGCAATAGCAAATTTGACGGATTCCTTCATCGTTCGTGAGAATGACGATGATGAAGATAAACTATTTTTCATAAATCTTTAATTGGCTTTGCTAATATTGTAATCCATATAATAATTGACATTGATAATGGCCTTGAATCCTTATTTATATAGTATATGAATTACACCTGTTATTTTTTAGCATTAAAAGTCTTCTAAATATTAGTATAGAAGAGAAGCTATAATCAAGACAATATTACAATAAATTCTTTATTGGGTATGAGCAATTGCAGACCAATTACAACATGATAACCGCCAGTAGCTAATGCCAAACAAGTTTAATGGTATGCATACGCGAATGCTTACTGAACATACACATTATTTATGATATATTTGTTCGCATATTCTTCTAGAATCGATGTTGTTGTTATTTGCTATCGGTTCTTTTATATGTATGTTCTTTTCTTTCTTACATCATCATTTTGTTCTTTAATATATGTACCGTTTGTTCTATGACTATTGATCATTTCAGTATGTTTGCCACGTAAGCATGCATATTGTACTCGAACGATAGTCTATTTTTCTCTTCAAGAGATCACGTTCACTTCTATAATAACTTATATCACAATAACCAGACATACCGTGATTGACATACCACACGCGCGTTCTATCTTAAGACATCATATTAGTTGGCTAGAGCAAGTGAGATAAGTTCATCTACCATCCTTTTTTTTTTCTCTCTTTCTGTCTTTCTTTTCTTTAAGATATATTATAGAATGATGATCAGACAGACATTCATCGACGAAAGATTTTTCTTCGTTGCATTTTTCTTTATAGGTTTGTTGTTGAATCATTTGCTTATCATTATAAAGAACGGACAGCTCATACATAATATATACATACAGTAACTTGCATAATCATTTTTGTGACTGGCTATATATTTAGACCATACATCACCAGGACATCGTTAAAAAAAAGAGAAAGACGATATTTAAGAAAAAAAAACTCGAACAAGTTACCCTTTTCGGTAAGTTACAACAAGTAAACGTCGATCGTTTTATATCGATATCTCTCGAGAGAACACAAGATAGACACAATCGATGACTGACAGACGATCTTCGACCATGAAGAACATAAGAGAAGGATATTCTCGAATGAGTATATGCTGAAACCTTGATCTGTCTTCTTTTTGGTATTCACTGATAGTTATACCTTACTTCGATATTCTGGATAACAAGTAAATTGCGCGCTTCTTGCTTACTCTGATATATTTTCAGTTTTTTGTCAACTTGTACGTTCGATTATCGAATGGCTGCGTTCGGTATCTCATTTCCTAAACTTACTTTATGTCGAACACCAACATCGAAAGCTGATACTAGTACTATTTCAACAACACCGACAGCAATAACAACACCGACAGCAACAACAACACCGACAACAACAACAACAACACCAACACCAACGACTGGTGCTCGAACTCTTTCTCTTTCAATTAAAAATATACCAAGTCAATCACTTCATTATGATATTTCAACAACAACAATAAAAAAGAAAGCAACATCATTTGCTACAATTCTTGCTATTGATGGTGAGACTAAACAGTTGCCGAAAACTTTATCTGTTTTCAATGAACTTCAACTTGATGATGATGATAAAAGTAACAAACATTCTTTGTTTTTTTTTCTATACAAACAAAAAAAGGAAATATCCTTGTACATGTCTAGAATCTGGAAACATTGATGAAAACAGAAGACGAGAAGAAAATTCAAGTAATATTATTGTTCCCTCATCATTATCTTCTTTGGATACTATTGATTATCGTTCTGATATTCGATTTCTTGCTAATACTGATTCAAAAAAATTCTTACATGATTCTAAAAATAAAGAAAAAAATTTAATACAAGAACAACGATCAAATCATACATTTACATCACCAACATCAAGTTTAAGTAATGAATCATCATCAAATGATTTACATTTAACATTATCAACAATATCAGTCGATTTACCTCAACTTAAATATGCTATTGAAAAATTTCTTGCCGATGATGATGATGATCCAGTTTATCAAATAGCTGAAGAATTTTCATCTGTTTATTCTCTTTATCATCAAGGTAGAAGTATTCAAATTTTTCTTTTTTTTTTTTGTGTGTAGTATCATTTATTTTTCTTAATATTATAGATTACAATGGAAATGCTCATAAATCAAATGAAACAACATTGAATATACAACATCATCAACACGATAAAATTGATAGTATAGAATTTAATCTAATGTATAAGACAAATACCAATGATGAAATATTATCTCATCCTCCATCGATATCAAATAATATGAAATGGTATGTAAGTGAATTACGAATCAATCGACCATTAATTTATTGTACACAATGGACCAATGGACAACAACGAGGAAACAATCGAAAATTAAGTCATTCAGCACATGATCTTAAACAATTTTATAATACTATAAATTGTTCAGAAAATGACAAATATACAACAGCAATAAGTAATACAGATGATATTACTTATTCGACTTTATCATTAGACTATTTAAATAATCAACAACAACAACAACGTCGCCATCAATCTGATGATAATATTCTTCTTAATAATCGTTTATCATATACAGACGATGACGATGATCTTAATAATTTACATAGTGATGAAGATGATCAACATTTATCACGTATGTTTTATTTATTATAATTAAGATTTATTATTTAAAATTTTTCTAGCATTAATTATTCAAAGAACATTAAATCGATCACTTGGTAAAGATGATACATTAATTAGAAATGAATCCGTTAAAAAGAAATTATTTGATATATTAAATGATGATGAACTTGAAAATGCATGTCTTGAAGATATGAGTCAAGAATTTGAAAAACTGTCTCTCACTCATCATCATCATCGTGATCTTTCAATAATTAATTCATTTTCATCATCATCTGATGATGTTGTCTATTCGTCATCTCCAAATGAATTTCATTTACCATATTCTCCACCAGTTCTACTACTTTCATCTTCTTATAATGAAAATCTTTCAACAAATATAAATAATACTACAGAATGTTATTTCAGTCGATCACGTTTAACTACTACAAGTCTCGATAAAATTCCAATCAATCACAATGCATATGATCATAGATTTTCATCATATCATTCACGTCCATCATATGAAAAAACTGTACCATCATGGTCTACATCACCATTACCGCAATGGCGTACAGATGATCAACTGTCGATGGTATCAGTATTAAAAAAACATTCATCTAAAAATGATGATTATCTAAATGGTATCGATACTATTGATCCTAATCGATTATTAAGAACAAAAGTTACTGAGTATGGCGTTAAAAAGAATAAATATAGAGAAAAGTATAATCATCATCATCATCATCATCGGAAAGAACAAAAGCATGTAAGCTATTCATTATTGAATACATCGACACCATTAGTCGATGATTCTACGACAATTCTACCTATTATTCAAGATACATCATCAAATATTCTTATGTTTATTTAGAAAAGAAAGTTTTTTTTCTTCTTCGTTTTTGATTTTTTTTTTGCTTGTAATTTATCATCAGTATTTCCGCGTCATATAAAAACGTGCAATCACAAATGCTTTGTTTTTTTTGTAAATCGATTAGGAACAGTATATGAAAAAATTTTTTTTTGTTGTATTCATGAACGCAACCAATAAGTGATGAGAATTTCCGTTTGTTTTTCTTGTATTGTTACTGCACCATGCTTAGAAATTTTCTTGCAAATCATCTGTATTACTTATAGTTTAGTCTAGTTGATGAGTTATTAATTAAGAAGTAATTTATTTCCATACAAATAGACAGACGACATTTGAATGCAGTATAGTTAGACTTCGCTAATTTACCATTGTATTCTTCATAATAAATTGATACTTCATTATTTATATATGAATACAAGGCCAAGAAATATCAGACAAGAATGCGCTAATTTGTACCAGATGATAAATATGTTCTACATATATATTCACACTCACTGAGTATGACTATGAAGGACATCGTGATAGTATATGTCTCGACGGATGATTCTTCAGCTGTTCTGTTTTTATCTCGGTCTTTGATGTATAACACTTGCAGTATTTCAAATTTGGAATATTATTTTTGAATTAATTGCTCATTTTTAGTTGATTGTAAGACAAACAGATTTATTGTATTTAAGCTTCTACCCGCAAAAAAAAAGTTAATTTTTTGTCAAAAATATGAAACTTGAGATATAAGTGTATGAGAAGATAGTCGGAGGTCTGATCTTTCATAAATGACATGATTTTTTTATTTGGTACATCTTTTTTTTCTCACAAAAAATTTCCATCATTTTCTACTTGAAAAATATGATTTTTTTTTCAGATAAAGTGGAAAATCTTTTGCACTTTTTCCTCAGTTTATGGTTTTTTGATTGTACATCCCAAAATTTTCGAATGAGCTTCATTGTAGCCAATGGTTTGTTTGTTTGTTTGTTTGTTTGAAAGAGTATGTCAAGATACAGGACATGACAGAGTCTCTTTCCTTTACGCTAAACTTTGTTACTATTATATAAAAGAGTAGCTTTATAACAAAAGCGCCATTTTTTGAGATATTGAACTTTTCATCCATTTTCTCTTCTTAACAAGTAAGAATTTAAAAATGAGAAAGTGGCTCTGCCATGCTCTTTCAAACAAAAAATTACGTATATAGAATGTGAAGATCCGTAGAGAATTGTGAGTTGTCAAATCAGTTATGCTAAGCCTTGTTTATTGAATGTCTTCCAAAAACGTCACTGCATAGGGCTGAAAATCTTACAATAGCCTCTCAACCCCAGGCCCAATATATCCTGAAAATTTCAGGCGATTTGAATATACCTAGCTCAAGATCGATTTTTGAGAGGGACTCTTAAAAAATTATGATGATTTCGTAAAAGATGAGCATAACCAATATTCAATAATGGAATGATTCAATCAATATTTCTTTGTCCAATTAATCTTACAAGATAATATTTAACAATATAAACATTTTGTATATATATGGTGGATGTTAAATATTTGAACTAAAACAAATTATTAAAGTAAATATAAAAATAAAATTGGTTGGCGCGTTCAACGAAAAAAAAACGAATAAAGAAAGTAGAAATTAAAAAAAATATATATTGATGGATTTATTTTTTTTCTTCCATCTTCTAAAAAAAGAAAATTTCACAATGAAAAAAAAGAATCATTCTTCATATCATTATTAATATTCAATGAAACTAATTGGCGAGATTTTGTAATTCTTTCACAATAAATACTAAATCATCATTTATCATATGGATTATAATCAAGAAAACAGTGATGGTAATAATTCGATATTAATATTTAATCAACCGAAAAATTCCTTACGTTTTACATCATCAACTACATCAACATTAAATTCAACATCGAAAACAAATTCTCTTATAATATCAAAACAATCCAATATTAACATTGATTATTCAATGACTCGAACTAAATCATTACGCAAACGCTATTATCAACAAAAACAAAAACAAATAGAACATTGTAGTTCATCTTATTCAACAGCAACAACTAGAAGTATATCACCTTCTACTATAACAATAATGAAAAAAAATGAACATGAACAAAACTCATTAAAAAAATTTTCTAAAATACAAAAACAAGAAGCTCGACCATTAGGTATTTGTTTACGTAAATGTATTCAATGTCGACAACTCAAACATATTCTATTAGCTGAATGTACTGTATGTTATCGAATGACAGATGTTGACTTAAAAGATTGTAAATGTCAAATACTTACAAACAAGAATATTATCGATCATTTTATTTGTTCTATATGTAATAGTAAATTAACAGTCGATGAATATATTATTTGTGCTAATCGAACATGTCAAACAACATTATCTGCATTGATAAATAAAGAAAGTCTTAATGAAATTGAAGAAAAATCTGTTCTTTCTACTATTCTTACAAATATATATTATCCTAAATCAACACATAGAACAGTTGCTATACAAGTTAATACATTAATCAATTTACCATTACTTCAAAGATTTTTACCAACTATTATAGATGATGAAAATGAAGAATCATCATCATTATCATGGTCAAAACATGATTTAGATTGGACAATAATTACATCATCGAATTCTTCAGATATATCTTCTATGAGTAATGATAGTAATATGAATATATCATTGAATAATATTACAAGGACTATGACAACTGCATTTAATTCAAATCAACCAACAAAATTAACTTTACGATCTGAAAATAAATTACGACACCATCAGTTACAAGTTCGTCATTTATGTATAGACAGTAGTGGACAAAAAACTCCATTGTAAAAGATCTCAGCAATTAAGACAAAGAGAATTATGATGGTTGACACCTGGTTTTTTTTGCATTACACTTTTTAACCTGAAAAGGATTGTTTACTCAATTTTGTACTAGCTTCTTATCAAATACATGGTTAATTCTTGATATTCTTGAGTGAAACGGAAGTTCAATCTTATGTTCATTCTTTACTCAAAAAGATAAGTTCATTTGCTTGAATATTAGCATCTGCAGATATTTTTGAATCTTTCACCTCATCAATATGAAGGTCATAGCTCATCACATAGTTTGCTTATGAAACTTGTAGTCGATAATATCCATCTGTAGAAGTAGTTTTTCTAAGAGTTTGAACTTTATTCATTGTCATCTCAAAAAGACACCACATGGTTTATTTTCCCACATTAACAACTATAGTACTAGAGAGAGTTGATGAACGTCAATGACATTAGTTGTGTGGATAGCTGGGATACAATGCTACATAATGAGCTGTTAACTGACCTAGAAAGCTCATCGTTTCTGCAGCTATGAAGTTCAAAGGGTGTATAGGTGCCATTCATCATAATTCTCTTTGTACTTAAGCAATCATAGCAGAATTGTGTCTTTCAGTATCTATAATGGCTGACACTCTCTAAGGCAAAGACTTTTGTTCACTACTGTAATTTTCAGCAGACTATAAGAAAATAATAAATTTTCGTGTTTGTTCTTTATTATAGCTAACGAATACTAATGATAAAACAGTAAATCATAATCTAGAATTTATCAAAATGCCAAAATCACCTCGATGTTTAGCAATAATGAATGTTCATAATCGTCGTGATCGACTATCGACATTACTTAAACTAAAAAAAAATGAAATATGTCAAACACAATTATCCTGTCTAATAGATATTGATGAAATGATTCGATGTGATGAATTAATCAGTCCAATTGTCATACGAACAAATAATCCAACTCAAATTGAACGTCAAATTCAAGTAGATACAATTAAAGAACGTTTTAGTGGTCTATTTAAAACTCGTATTGAAAAAGATTCAATAATAAATTTAATAAATGATGAAAGAATTTTACAAGCACTTATCGATAGAGATGGTAAATAAATGACAATAAAATATAATTTAAATCAGATGAATTTATATATTTTTATAGGACAACGATGGTCTGAATTAATTGATCAATTAATAAGTGAACAATCGAATTTTTCATTAAGTGAAATTGCACAACAATTACTTAATACTGTATGCAAATTTAGTATAATCCCGTTTCATCGACACAATTCTTTTTTCTGAACAATTTCAGAATTTTACTCAAGAAATCTTATTTTCGAGAGAAACGTGTAAACTAAACAATAATAGCACTATCCGACATTTTTTAAAACGAGTACTATCATCAGTAGAAAGGTCAGAAAAACGCTTTGGATGAGAAGGTGTGGATGTAAGTATTGGATTTCTCTAATTCCACATTCGCATACACATCCGAATTGAAGGATTGGCAATACCGGCTTAATGCAAATATTGCCACCCTCAATCGAAACTTATACGTAGTGATGGATGAATTAATGAAAGATTATGTGTTCAACATAGCTATGATGACACACCGTAACAATAATGTAAACAAATCTCTACTAAATAAAAATTTTTATTTTTCGGAATCAACGAATTCTTGACTTAGTGGAACGATGTAAAGAATAACTATTGAATTATGTTTTCATTTCTATTATTACAATAAATTTTCTCTAATATGAAGTTATATTCGTTTTTTCTTCATAAAATACTATTGAATAAAAAGTGTCGATAAAACAAGATCAAACCTATAAATTTCAATTTTAAAATTCTTGAATTAGTTTATTTATTTTTTAATCGATTTTTCTAGATTGAACGTTTGTATACTACTGAAAGATTAAATAATTTAACAACTGGTCAATTACAACGTAAAATTCGTTATGCAATGTCTCAATTAAAACATATTGATGAACATTCATATTTACAAAATAATTTTAAAACAATAAAAAATAATCGTACAAATATAAATTCAAGAAAACAAACTGAATGCAATGGTACAATGGATATGGCAGTAACAGTAAGACAAATTGATAAACATCATAATCATCAATCAATAGTATCATCTAATCATATTTGGAAACCATATGTTGATCGTTTATTCGATCAAGGTCATTCAGCTGATGAAATTAAACGATTATTACATAAAGCAGCAGAAACAACAATGCAATGTGATGATTATCGTTTACAAGATGTTTTTAATTATATAGATACAAAATCAAAACAACAAAGAGCAAAAACGGCACCATCAAAAATTGGATTCACTACAGCTTCAACAAAAACGAAACCTGTAACATCTGAACAATTCCAATCAACTAATTTATTTCAATCAATGAAACCAAACGAAACAATGGATAGTAATAATAGAATTATGAGATGTTCTTCACCTTCAATATCAGTAAATATATTTTTCTTTATTATTTATGTAAAATATTATTTAATTATAAATTTTTCAAATCGTATAGGTAAGAAAGGTTATGTCAAATGACTTCTCATCTGCTTTTAATAACAAAGATCAAAGATCGACAATCGAAGGAATAAAAAATAAATCTATTTCGTCTAATGTTTCGTTGAACAGTAGTTTAATTAAATCACCTAGTATCGAATCAGATATTATTCAAATAGAATCAACGGAGAATAAATTCATTACTGATTTGAATAAGAATGAAAAAGAACAAAATTTACCATTACATTCGTCGACTGATCAAGAACATATAAATATAATGGTAAATTCAAGTCCAACTACTATGAATAAACATCGATCTATAACCAATATAGGTTAGTTCTTTATGCAGTAAGAGATTACTTTATCATATTGAAAGCTTTATTTTTATTTTCATGTTGAAATAAACTTTTTTTGAGTATTTCCATAAAATTTTTTAATTGATTTCTTTTGTTGAACAGAAAAAATAATACAAAGTGAAAAAAATAATGATAAGAACTCTGATAGTGATGATATTATCATTATTACTGAACAAAAACCATATCAAAGCCAAGAAATAATCGACCCTACAACTTCACAAACTAATGAAACATCTAGTTTTCATAATCTAAAAAGTAAAAAAAAAAAAAAAAATTCTACATCAATAAATAATAAGAAAAAACATTCCATTCAGCAGATTCTTCAACTACAAGAATTAAACCATCAAATAATCTAATTGATATGCCTTTGACAAAACTTGAAGAGCAATCCATTCATGCATTGCAACATGTTCAAAATACTCTTAATACTATTGACAATACTCATCTTCATTCACATTCCTTAAACATTCCAGTTGAACAAAATAAATTGATTGATATTATCTTCGAATTAAATTTACGCAAACCAGATAATATTGAAATTTTGATGACTAAATGTATCAAACTCTTAAATAATGAAAAATCAACTATTGTTGTATCACAACTAGAAGAAGTTTATTTTCAGAATTTGAATGAAGAAATATCTAATACATTTAATCTCTTACAAGAATATAAAAAACCAACTATGCCATTTATAATAAACAATGAAGATTCTTCGTATAATCGACATATTTCAAACATGATTATGATTTCATCGGAGAGTCAAAGTAATTTGATTTTATCTAGTAAAATAATTTAAATCATTTAATCAAATTATCATAGCTTCATTAAAATCGATTAATGAGAATATTGAACAAATTATTGAATCTAATACAAATCTTGATTTAAAACATCAAGTAAACATATTAGAATATTCAAAAATTGCTAGTCCTATACGATGTCGTCCTATACCATATACCGTTTCGAATGAGATGAGATCAACAGAATCTTTAAGACAAGAATTTATTTGTTCGACAGAACACATTTCATTAACAACCAAAGAATTAAATGAACAACTAATCACGAATAAAAATGATCTGAATTATAGATCGGACATACCTTTAAAAATAGAAAGTGAATTATATGATGATCAATCTCAAAAACAATGGCTTGATTCTCTACTTTCAAAAATATCTGATAATATCAGTAGAACATCGAGTAAGTGTTAAACGAAAGTTTCTTGCAAATCATCAAAATACAAACTCAAATAAACAAATTTTTATAGATATCTCTTCGACTTCTCCATCTTTATTAATTATTAATCAAACAAAGATTGATGATAAAGACGAACAAGAATCTACCATTATGAAATCAGTAGATCGACAGATATCATCATTGAATGAACATTTGAAATCATCTATATCTATTCATCAACATACAACAAATATGATTGAAACAACTGATGACATACAGAATATACAATATGTAACAGATATAATCATATTTAAAAAAGAATATGCTACGTCAATCATTATTCCTAATCAAATCTTTTCTATGATCGAAGAACAATTTCAAATAGTTGAAACAAAATTATTACAAAATAAAGTAGTAATATCTTCGAAACAAATTTTGAATTCAAATGATCAATTACTATCATTATCGGACGAGAAAAATAGTGAACATATCAACAAAGAACTTTCAAAATTAAATCATGATTTCGATGATACATTTCAAAAGTCTCCTTCTATTATGACCGTACATGCAAATTATGTCGATGAAGAAAAACAATCTATTTCATCAATTCTTAATGATGAAACATTATCTGTAACCGGTCAATCTTCACCTCCTTCAAATATTGATTTATTAGAGCAATTAGATCAACTTCAAATACATGAAGATATTGTATCTTCAAAACAATTAGTGCCAGCAAATGTATCGAAAAGTAAAGAAAAATTTGAATCATCACAAAAATTATTCGATAATGGACAAGAAGACATAAGAGTAAATTGTTTTGACTTTATTCATGAATTTAAATCATTTGATATGATTCTTATTTTTCTAGTTATCAAAAACTGACATGAATTATGTTCCAGAAATAAACACAGAATTATTACCATCGAATGATCAAAAAAAAGAAGAAAAAACAAAATCTATCGTATCATTTCCTTCAGATAATAATGAAGACGAAGTAAGTTATTTATTCTACTTTTACGACTTCAATTTCAATGAATAATATAATACAAAACAAAACATCTTAATTTTCTTTTACTAATTGTAGAGTTTAATAAGTAAATCTCATACAGACACTAAAAAACCATCGAAATCTTCACATGTTAATGCACAAGTACTTGATGAACATACATCTATAATTGCTTCAACAGTAGTTAATCACCAGAATGAAATTAGTCAATTTCAGTTACCGATTTCAACACAATACTTCAGTATTTCTAATGGCATACACTCTAATTCTTTTTTGACTTACTTGAACAATCAAAATAGTACTGTTTCATATAAAGAATCCATATCTAATGATACTCCTACATCAAATGAAGAGAAACATTCACCAATTGATTCACATAATCAAAATATTGTAACAGAAACGTCAATTCAAAATAGTAAAGATAAAAAATTATCAAATGAAAAAATAGATAATGCAATTATTAATAAATTTCACAAGTCTACTATCCTATCAATGGATCATTATATTACACGACAATCAATAAAATCAGTACTTTCTCCATCAAAAACTACAGTAAATATCTGTTGAACTATTAAACTTTATTCATGATATTTGGTTATTTAGAAAATGGAACATATCAAATACAAAACGATTGCTACATCATTACAACCAACCTCAATTCCTACAACGTAAATGAAACTATCTTTTATTTCAAGAAATGACTTTTTCATATATTTATTTTAGTATTAATAATATATCCAAAGAAGATGACACGATGGTTAATCGTACTAGCATTCCATATTTTGTTACTGAAGAGACATCTAGTAAAAGCGTTGATTAAAACTCGAAGTCACTTGTATTTTATTAAATTTTTTACGAATAGAATTGATGACATCATTTACAAAAACAGCAACAAAAGATGATATTAATAACGATGAAAAATCTATAAGTTCTATGTCTAGTGGACATGATCTTCTGATTGATGATGATGATACAACGAAAAAAGATCTAAGAACTAAGTTAAATTATAATAATGATCTGTTACAAAATAAATCCAGTAAGAGCAAATCTTCTTCTGCAGGAAAATGACTTCAGATTTTGTTCCTGTTTTTCATCCGGTAGATTCACCATTACTCTCTAATGCATCTATACAAGAATCAAGCTTGTTTGACGATACTATTCGTACATCATCATCATCACCACCATTAAGTAGTAAAGAAAATTTAATTAACAAAAAAGTAGATGATCAACAAACAAAGACACAGTTAACAATTAATAGAACTATTTCTCTACCTAAAATCGTCAGTGAAGAAGGTCAAAGTAAGTAAAAAGTAGAAAACTAGATATTGATGACACATAATTTATATTTGATTAATTAAATATGATCTTCTCACAGGACCACTTATCTCGACACCTCATTCTTTCCTATTATCTACTATTATCGATGATAATATTCACAATGAAATGAAACAACCGCTTGAGAATAAAGTTCAATCTATACATAAGAATACAAAGTCTTCGAATACATCATTGTCAACTGCAATAGATGGGGAAAATCAATCGGATAAGATGCCGACTCAACGTACTATCAAAGAAAAATCTTCTGCAAATGAAAGTATTCGTAATATACCTCTTGAAAACATTACTAAATCAGAGGTAAATAGTAACTTACTCATATATCATATAGATTTTAGTGACTTTTTTATTCTTTTTCAAAGCATCCGACTAGTAGATATGACAAATCGAAAGAGCATACAAATATACATTCATCATTTCAAATTGAACAAAAGTCTATTTTATCGAATTTACTTTAAAAAAAAATATTAATATAATTTTACTTTTTTAGTTCTCAAAATGAAGATCACCCATTGGAAAAGATAAAATCGTTAAAACAGGAAAGCTTAGTTAAACAATGTAAGAAAAGAGAATATATTACAATTGATATAAAATTCTATATTTAGCATCGTTACTTTCTAATAAACAACTAGTAATGGATATGGATAGTGAAACGAAGAATCCACTTGATCAAGTATTCAAAATAAGAAATTTATCGACAGAAAAAGAATATTATCTTTTCTAGATTCGTCCTTCATCTCATAGTAAACTTGTCGATAATAATCAAGATCGATTAGATGATCATAAATTTACTAATACTGAAAAATATCCTTCGTCAATGATCGTTACTTCAGATACTAAGCGAATTGATCGATCTTCTCCGATAAAAACAAAGCAACGACCAATAACTTCAACAATTACTTCTACATTACCATCATCTTTTGCTAATGTTAATATGCGACAGCAAGATATAAAACCTTGGATATCGTCATCAGAAAATAAAAATGACAAATCGATATTAGACGATGCATTAGTTTTGACATCGAAAGAAATTCCGCGGTCAAAACCAGTCTCCTCGTCCAATCTTGTTCATCAAAATAAGTAAACACTTTTTTTTTCTAATTCTTAATAAATTTTTTAGACTATGACAATTATAGATTGATTTCTCTTTTCTCTAGTCGAACGTTTGACTATCGTCATGAAATTGAAAATGAAAAATTATCTTCACAATCGGAAAAAAGAGTAACAGATGATAATCCTTATCACTCAAATTCGAAACAGCAATCATCTATGACTAATACATTAATTCGTGATAGTATTCATTCATCATCAATGCCAAAACTTTTACTAAAACGATCTTCAATCAAACAAAATTCTACTATTTTACAACCGACAAAACCAAATGCAACATCATCTATTACAGATGTTAGTACATCTTCAAGTAATATAGTTGCTACTGATCATTTAAGAAGTACACATTCCATAACAAGTGATGATCACGAAGAAGTTATATCACTGAAAAAAACAAATAAAAAAAATAATTCTAAAGATGAATTTATATCAAAAGTTAATTCTACTTCTAAACATAATATGTTAAGAAAAAAAACACCACAACCATCACAAAATCAATCATTGACATCTTTCAATCAAAAACAACCAAATATCAAAACATCAAGAAAAAAATTTACAAATTATAGTTTATTAACAAATTCAGAATTAGCATATGATACTGAACAAGGATCTGATGTATGGATGAACAGTCATGAAGATATTAGTCAAATTTTAAGTATTAATGAACAAGATGAAAGAAAACCAAAAATTCATAAACGACAACAAAAAAAACAAAATAAAAATCGAATAATCGATGGTTCGAAATTTATGCCTTTTAATTTAAAAGCACGTGCTGATCATCAAGCTTATACCATAGATTCATCAAGATGTAAACTTTTACTTTTTTTTCTTTTCGTTTGTCTCGATTAGGAATCAGTTTGGTTCGACTCGATTGCAAATAAAAAAAATACTAACTAATCCCATCTCTGTTAGGAATGGGTGATTCCGATACGATTCCACTTCTAAAAAAAAAATCCGATTTTGTCCACATCTAGTCTCGATATTAAAGTTTATGTATATATATATATATATGTTTTTTTTTTCTTCTCCATAGTACCAAGTATTGAGCAATCATGTGGTGAACATTATCTTAAAAAATTATCAAATTATCTTTCTCATCGTCCAATTATTCGTCTTCCAGTGACACAAATAGAAAAATTTGAATGTGGAACTATTGGACCTCATCTTCATCCTTCGTCAATTGCTCGTCAATTCTTTTTTTTACCATCAATTCATAATCGTCATCATTTATCATCTCAAATTTATCAAACAAATGAATCACTTACAGATCAATTTTATTCTTTTATGTCATCAGAAAATATTGATGATAAACAAGCATTTGAATCAATACTCAATTGGCAACCACAGCAACAACATTCAATATCAAAGACTGAACAGAGTAAATTTCAACATGTATATTTGTTAGATACATCAACAGGCAATACAGTTCGTGGTAGACAATATCCTATCTTAACTGATGAAATCGATATGATTGATGATCCAAATACATGCACTATTGTTAATAAATGGGCTTTTGCTGATTTAGTTAATACTGAACGAAAAAAATTTATTCAAGAATCAACAGATAGTATTACGAAATCTAAAAAACGATCAAAGCTAAATAATAATAATAATAATAATATTAAAATATGTTTACGAAAACGACCATTAACACAATTCGAACAAAATGTATTCAAAGAAGTTGATATTATAAGTATTGTTGATTCACAAACAATATTGCTTCATATACCATCAATAACTGTTGATAATCAAGTATTCATTAAAAATCGAAAATTTAAATGTGATCAAACATTTGATGAACATTGTCAAATAAGTACTATTTATCATTCAACTCTTGCTCCATTACTTGATCTAGCAATTGATGGTAGCAAGTAAGAATATAAAATATTTCTTTTTTTTTTGCTTTTTAAATTGTTTTTATGTGTTTATAATGATTTACACGATTTACTACCCGTTAATTATTTGAAAGGAGAGAGAGAGTGTGTGTGATTGTAGGTAGTGTGGACACAAGTCTGCGCCTTTTCTACATCCTCACCTTAATTGTCGCAATAATTACTCATTTGCTCATTTCTCTTCTTCTAAATAATCAACAGAAAATAAATCTTGTACACGATTTACTCCCGATTCCGTCTCATTTGATACCCTTCTCAATTCAGACCCTTTTCGATTCGTTCGTAATTCATCAAATTAAAAGATGACAAGCCTTCATTTATCTTCATGATCAGTCATCTAAAGAATTCATTCTCGAATGATCATTTATTGAGCAGAATCCATACAATAACACGGTTTAAACTAAATGATGTGTCAGCGATAGAGCTTGTCGTATTAAAATACGAAAAGCGAATAACAAGTAACATGTAAATCGCAACTACACATCGTAAAGCACTTGTATTTAACTGTCAAGGTTTACAATTAGAAATTCAATGTAGTAAAAACCATAAAAACGAAATTCGTTAAGAAATCAAAAGAAGCAACTTAATTTTTTTTCATTGTATATATGTATGACGTGTCTGTGCGTTATAAATATTGATAACTTTTGTATTTATCTGGTTATTCTTTATTATACAGGCTATTCACTTCTATGTTGAATATAATGAGAAAAAATACTTTAGATCGTTGATCTTTTTCGAGTAGTGATTTTTAATTATCTCTTCTTGAATGCTTCTACACAATCCACACCACTTCTCATCTACATTCAGTACTTTGCTTTCAGGGATCAAATGATTCTACTCCAAATCGATGGTACTCGATAAACTAATTGGTCTAACTGGCAGAGTAAATTAAACAGTGTGGGTGCTACAGTGCCGCTGATCTGGAGAAGCATCTCAGATCAATGATAGCCTTAACTAATTTATCTGATTGACAATTGGGAATACTGCAGAATGAGGGTGAAGACATCAAAGAATATCAGGATAAGGTTGTTGTCGTCGTTAATCTGAAGCAGTACCTGCACTTTTTTGACAAATAATAATGTGAAATGAATCCTGAAAAAAGTTGGTGACCAAAAATACTATCATCCCATATAATTATGAATCATTGTAATTGATAATACTACAACCACATTGATAAATTATTAAATGAGATCGATTTGAGAAGCAACCCAATTGAGAGATCATCAAATATGACTGATTCAGGAACTCTTCCGTGTACATAATTAATTAATCATTTGTATATAGTTGTTTATGTTTAATTGGTGGTGGAAAATATTCGGGTAAAAATTATCTTCTTCATTCATTAATTGATTTATTTGCATTTGATTTAATTCGTCTTTTATCATCATATGATATCTATATAAAATTACTTGGTATATGTCATAATCGAATAATTGATCTTTTACAAAATTATTCACCAATACGTATTATTAAATCAATGAATTGGACATTAATACCAAATGATGTATTTCATTTAAAAAATAATGATGATATTGATTATATAGCATGTCAAATAAAAAAACGTCGTCGTTTTATTCATCAATTAATACAAATTAATTTTCATGACAAAGATCAATCAATAATAATAGGTTCATTAATGATTGTTGTTTTAGCTTCATCTCAATATGTTTATACAAGAAATTTATGTTCACATCGAAGAAAATTTTTAATTAATTCATTAAATAAAACAATTTTATCATTTAAAAGAGCATTACTTGGTATTCGACAAAATCCAGATCGTGTTCGAGCAGGTATTATTTATTAAATATTTATGATTATAAACTTTAATTTGATATTCTTTTTTTTTAGCATTTAATAATGATATTTTAACTCGATTAATTCAACCATATGTATTTCATGATCAATCAAATATTTGTTATATTGGAACGCTTAATCCAGGTCATCGACATCGTATTGCAACGAAATCTACAATTGAATTTGCTCGAAATCTTCGTTTCTGTTTAAAACGTATTAATAAACAACGTCGAAAACGAGAAAATTTATCTCGAATGAACACAAATAATAATGATAATATATTTTAAGACATAATTATCAATTGTCTTGTGCATTTTTAAATATCTTTTGAATTCTATCTTTGTATGTAATAACGTAAAGTTTTATGTTTTCAACTGAATAAAATTAGGTTAAGTGACATTTTGAGATATTTTTTAAACAATATATATCGATCATGAAAATAGAAATTTTAGATTCAATCCAGTTAGTTCTCTTATTCGAATGTTGAAGAAATATAGACGAATAATGTATTTTTTTTTTCATATTCAAGGTAATTATTTGATCTCAAAACAAAATAGAGGATTTATAAATCATATGATTACAGAATGTCCTAAAACTTTGTCCAGAAAGTTTGCCTAAATAATTCTTAAGCATTTCAAGCGATTTATATATTTTTTTAAAAATAATATTATAGTATATTGTTTGAGATTTTGTTTTGTATATTTTCAGATAAATGTCTGTGATTATAAATATTCGAATAAAAATAGATTTGTAAATGGCAAAATTTGAATCATCTATTATACTGAAAGAAAAAATACAAGTCAAATTTAGCACACAAACATCAGACAAAGACTGTACGAGAGATACTTTTCATTACTTGTACAAAATCAGTTTAGCAGTAAATGGACAACAACCTGAAAGAGATCTCGAAAAATTACAGGAAAGAAAATCGACGAAATTTCTGATGCTTGTAAAAATGTGTGACTATAGAGTGTTTGAATTGTTGCAATCGGCTCTTTCCATTTGAATAATGTATCAATAAATATAAAGTAAAAAAATCTATATGTATAAGATATAGATAAAGATTTGATAGAATACAAAATAAGAACCAATAACAGAAATAAATTAATTTGAAAATAAACTTTCTGTAGTATTTCTTTTTTTTTTGAAAATTTCGAAAAGGATTGATTTATGTAGTTCAGTTAATGACAATACTTTCGAACATTTATTTTAAGTCAAAGTATATGAAATAAAAGTTAAACGAATATAATATCATATTATTAAAAAAAAAGAGAACAATTAAATCATTTGAACTGCTTCAGAGTTACTTGCGTAAGGTTTCTGGGTGAATTTTTGGGGCAGTCTGTATATAATTCATTCAGTAGTAGCTAAGCGAGAATTAAGTAGAAATATGTTGCCACTTATATGACATAAGAATCAAACAAAATCATACAAAAATATCATATTTTATTGAGTAGTTATAATGAGTATCATTATTAGATTCTTATAGGATCTGTCTAACATATGAGATTTTCTGAGTAAAAACTATATTAGTATATGATCATATATATTTTTATACATGTAATTTGTTTATATCGATAGCTTTCGAATTGATACATAAGAAAATAACGGTAAACTGATAATATATGTTAGTTTATGGTTAAGAAAAGAAGTTTTGAAGCTTGAAAAGTGTAAGAAACTATATATTAATCAATGTTTGTATTTGAGTACAAATGTCATTTGAAATGACCGTCGTTGTAGTTGCATAAAAGACATTATAGAAAAATATCTGTTGAAAATTTCATTATTCAATTGAATTTTCCGCCAATACTTTGCTGTAAAAAAGAACCAGCATTACATTACTATGTGAAGTCTGTAATTTCAAGGTCACAAAACAAAATTGTTTTATTGACTGAGAAAATTTGCCGTGTGATGAGAATGAAAAGGTGGCGGACGTCTGCTGAAGGTCAATTTGTGAGCAATGATTAATGCTTTAGTGACATCTAGATATAACATATTGAAAACAATTTGTAACAGTTTTTCGATTTGTTTCGATAATTATTATATTTAAGAAAACTATAAATTCGAATTAAAGAATTCTTATTTGAAATAGATGTCATTAAAAATAAACTCATTGGTTGTCCCAAAAAACAAACAGACGATGATTGAACACCTTTCAAAAAAGAGTCATTATTTTAAAACTTTGTTGACTCTTTTTTTTCTCTATATCATGGTTTATATATTTTTATTTCAGATGGGCCGTATGAATGTTATTCTATGGCTTCAATTTCTTTTTTTGTATACTTTTACAACCATATTAGCTTATCAGTCGTCCGACTTTTTTCCATTCTATTCTCAAAATGATACATATACATTTGTTGACGAAGATGATGGTCTATCCATTTATAACCAAGATGAAGAATTTGATAATGATGTTCCTCTTAATCATTCTATTAAACGTCGACAAATTCCATTAAATATTATAACATCACAACTGGCACGAATACCAATGGTACCATCATATATTATTCTAGGTCCACGTACTATTCGACCTGCACAATTAGTTGCATTAAGTGTAACTATTTTACGTGATGAATGGAATCCAATAATGGTAAAAGCATTAATATCTAATGATGATATGGATGTTGCTTCAGCTGAAGATTTATTTATAATTGGTGTACCACGTACATTAGAAATGCGTATACCAAATAATATTCGTAATGGTACATATCGTTTAACACTTGAAGGAAAATTATTAACTGGTGAACAAAAATTTTATAATGTTTCACAATTAATATTTGAACAAAAAGCTGTAACAATACTTATTCAATTTGATCGACCTGCTTATCGTCATGAAACAGTTGTACAATTTCGTTGTATACCAATTTATCCTGATCTAAGTGGTTATTTTCATACAGTTGATGTTTATATACTTGGTCCATCGGGACATATTTTACGTAAATGGGAAAATCAACAAACAACAGCTGGTATGGTGGCACTTGAAGTAAATATTTAGATATAGAGTACAACAATTCAGAGTAGTCGTCTTCATTTTTTTTTGGAGAGTATTTCTGGTTCTCGAAAAAAGTACAATCGAGTCACATGAAATTTTTACCAAAGATAGAGTACGTTCAATAAGGGGATATGTGTTCAAAGAAAAAAATTTAAACAAGATTTAATTGGAAAACTCTGATTTTACATAGGACTATATCGAGTCTGTTTACGATCCTCGTCTAACATTGTCCGATTGGACTGAAGTACTTTTTTTTGGAGACACCTTAGACTTTATCTCAGAAATGATTTTAAACCTTTTTCAAAAATCTCTTTCTTTTTTTTTATATAAAAGACATATGTAAACGTTCGGATTCCAAATTGGGGTGTTGGATCTTACGACTCTATTAATTCGGATAGCAAGGTCAAAAATAAAGACGAATAATTTCACCTTTAAGGAGTACTTCCAAATGTTTGTGGTCGAAATTTCAGCTTGTTCGAGCAAAGTTAGAGAAAGATCATAAATTCGGTCTGATATGAATCTATGGAAAGTCAAGATTTCCTGAACAAATCGCGAAGATCTAGTTTAAAATTTTTTTCCTAATAATAAATGACAAAAAACCGGAGGGAAGAGGTACCTTTAAATAATATCTTGTGTTTTTTTTCTTAGTATCCAATTAATGATGCACCACCCGAAGGTATTTGGTCAGTAAAATGTCGTGTTATGGGCTATGAAGCAGTAAAAACCTTTGAAATTTATGAATTTTATGCAAGAAAATTTGAAGTTAATGTTACTGTTCCATATTATTTACCAATAGATGCACCTGGTGTTGGTGGTATTGTTACAGCAAATTATTCTACAGGTATGGGTGTACTTGGTTATGCACGAGTTGTTGTTCGTGCACGTGATATGTCTGTTCCATATGATCCACGTGCTAATCCATTAATAGATGTTGAATTTGATCGTTCAGCATCATCATTTGTAACAACAATTAGTGATTTTAATGGTGTTGCTGGGTTTTTTATTCCAATAGCAAATATTCTTAGACTTGTACCTGATTTAGATGGAAAAGAAATTTTAATAACAGCAGTTGTTCATGATCCATGGTGGAATGAAACAAATAATGGTACAACTGTTGTTTCATTTTATAGACCTGGTGTACGTCTTCGTTTTCTTGGTGGTCCATCAATGGTATTTAAACCTCGTATGTTATTTACAACATACGTTGCTGCTGTTAATTTTGATGGTACAAAATATCCACCTGGTCCTAATCGATTTATTCGTGTATATACAGAGACTGAGATTGGTCCAATACAACCACCTGCTGATTATATACTTGATTCAACAGGTATAGTTCGACATCAATTTTTAGCACCACCAGATCTAAGTATTATATTTATACGTCTTCGAGCTGAATTATATGATAATAATATAAAACTTCAAGATAGTGATGATGAACAACGTGCTATACGTTATTTATCGCCATCAAATAGTTATTTACAAGTTACATCAAGTACTGAGTCACCACGTGTTGGTGATTTTATGTTATTTCGTGTTAACATAACACAATATGTTGATTTTGTTTTTTATCATCTAACATCAGGTGGAAGATTAATTTTTACAAATATACTTCCAATGGATGGTGCTAAACAAAAAACATTTGATGTTGGTGTTAGTCGTGAAATGGCACCATCAGCACATATACTTGTTTATTATATACGTTATGATGGTGAAATAGTTGCTGATAGTATGAATTTTCATGTTAATACATCATCAGTTACAAATCGTGTTAATATAACAATAAATCGACGAAAAGATTTTACTGGTAATACAATTGAAGTATTAGCATATGCATCACCACAATCATTTGTTGCATTTGCTGGTCTTGGTCTTGTACAAACACGTTTATTTCCACCAGGAAATCATTTTACTCCTGTTATGGTAAGTTTTCTTTTTAATAGAAAAGACTATATTTTTTTTATTCTTTTTAAATTATAGATTTATGATGAATTATATTCATTTGATCATTATTCATCAACAAGTTTTCAACATACATGGTATTCTGAAATGGATATACCATCAAGTAGAGTTTTTTTTCCATCACAATCTTATGGTTATGATGTTGGTTCAACATTTAATTCATCTGGTATGCAAATATTTACTAATGTTAATGTTCAAGCTATACAAACAGCATGTAGTCAATTTGGTTTAATGCAATGTACAGATGGATCATGTTATCCACCACCATTAAGATGTAATGGTCTTCTCGATTTTTGTCGTGATGGTTCTGATGAAGCTAATTGTAAGAGATAATTT